CTTTAAACAAAGTATATCCCCTTTATATTCTCCATACAATTGCCTTTTTAAATTTATATTATGAATCCAGAATCTTTTTTTTTTCTTCGAATTTTAACTTCTCCTTCCTGTGCCAATTAGCAGGCTAGTACTATATTTGTTTCCATGGTGATTTCGAGCTATCAATTTCAATGTACCGTTTCACAACAGTGGTTGGAAAAAACTACAAAAGTAGTTGGTTATACAAAAGATTTGCTTACGGCGCGGACGGTGCATATGTGTAAGTGCAAATAAGCGAGATCATCAGTAAAAATTGGCGCCTACGGCGCGTACGATGAGTACGGTGTGGATAAACGTGCGTTCAACTTTGGATTTTTTTAATTAATTTTTCGTCATTTGTTCGTTATTGTTCGAATATAGAAATTGTTTGTTCGTCTTTTAATTATTTATAATTCATCCTTAAGTTGGCCCCCTAATTGTAAATTTCAACTTTTATCCGATAAAACAATTTGTTTTTAATAAATATTGTTTGTTCGATCGCAATTGATGATTTTTCGATCATAAATACAACTTTATTATTAATTATTCAATTTTTTTAATTAAAATACTGTCATCCCTTATGGTTGCACCTGCGTTGTGCATGCTTTCGCGTTGCAATATAAACTTAGTCTTTTGTTATATGATAAGCGCAGTTCAATTGAATCAAATTATATTGAATGATACTGTCAATTAGCAGACAACTGATAATTTTTAAAATATCTTGAACAAGTCAATTATGATTAAAAAAAAACATTATTCATCAAGGAATTTGAAAAACCTATGCAGATTTTCAAGAACATTTTTTTTTTTGTAATAATTTGCTTGACAAATAAATCCAATATCGTCATTTCATTATAGTACTGTTATAATTATTCTCTCCTCTGATATGCTATTTATGCATTAGGACCTATTTGTGAGATGTACGTATATAAATTTGTTGCGTTTTAAACAGAAAATGTAATATAGTGCTATATATTTCTCTATTGTTTTATATATTACTCATTTGACTTCATCAGGAGTTCAATAAAAAGTTTTTTCATACGCTAATAGTTAATAAAACATAATCTTTCATTAAACAATATTTAACCAAAGATGTTGAAAAATTAAAGAAATTTAAATGAATAAAATATAAATAAATTTCAGTATTTTTCATGCTTAAAATTATAAGCTTTTTTTTAATTCACTGGGATATTCCGATATAACGAATCATAGTTTCAGAATAAAGACCGGTTATTTAATTGAATCAATTCTAGAAATTAATTATATCACATGCTATCTAAATTAATAATAAGTCAATTTTTATTCTTGTTATTTTTACCCATTTGCGATTAGAGAAAAGATAGGTATTTATTTTTCAATTATCAATAATAATGCCTACATTAATCATTACTACAATTATTATTATCATTACCACAACGTATACTTGCACATAACGAACACATTACACATTTAAACGTGGTAGAGCCATGCTGCAATTATATTAGTAGTATAGTTGTAGCACGAATGGGTCGGCTCGACCGGGGAAGGACCACGCTCTCACAGAATACCAGCGTAAAATAGCAGCTTAATACTGCTATGTTTCGTATGGTGAATGTAGAGAACCGGAGACCCATTTTACTGGAAAAGAGGCATTCCATCTTAGTCCTCAGGGGTGACAACGCATCTGCATTTGGACTCGCAAACGAAGATGGGTGTAGATGTCTATGGGCCACAGCAGCCACTTACCCACTTACCATCAAGTAAACTGTGTGCTCGTTTGTTACGCTATCCTATAAAAAAAAACATTTGAAGCATTTTTTTTTGAAATAACTTACATTTTATATAAAAAACTAACAACAATCTTTCTTTTGTACCTAATTTTTTTTTCATTTTATGTTGACTTTTGCACTCACGCGGTGAAGGAAAAATGGACTGAAGTATATGAAGTAAACCGGACACATAGGTAAAGGCGGAAACTCGTCTTTTAAAGTACATTCTCTTAATACAGAGAAGCGTAATTTAGTAACGAAACTAATTCTAATAAAAAATTTAGAGTTTTAGTTGTATAATTCTTAGAAATAACATTTAAAAAATAATTATTCTGAACAAACGTAGTGATAGTGACTCGGTTCTGGTTCTGAGAGGTCCCTTCTAAATATTACACGGGGGCGAGGAGGTTATAATATAATATAGGGAGTGAGCGCTTGGAACATTGTAACCGTTCCTCATTTTTCTTAGAAAGAGAGGCACTGAGTTTTGTACTTTATCTCCTTCTAACATTGATAAGTGTTCACACCAAACAAAAACATTACCAACGTTTAGAGAGTTATTAACTCAAAGTAATATTTTGGAAATATGCTGAACGATAATCTTACATTTTTATCGCTAATCATAGTTGGGATATTCCATATTGTATTTCAATTAAGCATATTATTTTTATTTTTTATAGGATAAGGGTGACAAACGAGCACACAGTCCACCTGATGGTAAGTGGTTGCTTCGGCCCATAGACATCTACTTCTATCCTCTATTACAAATCAAAATGTAGATGCGTTGTCACCCGTGAGGACTAAGATGGAATGCCTCATTTCCAGTAAAAAGGGCCTCCGGCCACCTGCACTCACCAAGCGAAACGCATAGGCAAGCCTCTACTTCACGCTGGTTTTCTGTGAGGTCGTGGTACCACTCCAGTTCGAGCCGGCCCATCCGTGCGTCAGCAAAAGCTGCCGCATAGCTCTACCACTGTTTATTATTAAGTAACACGAAAAAAAAACGCTAAAACACGAATGTTCTTTCCCTAAAAACTAGGGGGTGCATTTTACGCTATAGATGACAACACTATTTTAAAATTTGACATTGTCAAATGAATGAATATATTGTTTTTTTTTTAATAGGATAGGGTGACAAACGAGCACACAGTCCACCGGATGGTCATGGTTGCTGTGGCCTATAGACATCTACATCTATCCTCGTTTGCGATTCAAAATGCAGATGCGTTGTCACCCGTGAAGACTAAGATGGAATGCCTCTTGTCCAGTAAAAAGAGTCTCCGGTTCTCTACACTCACCATACGAAAAACATCAGTGTTGAGCTGCTATTCCACGCTGGTATTCTTTGAGTGCGTGGTCCTTCCCCGGTCGAGCCGACCCACTTGTGCTACAATTATACTACTAATATAGCTGCAGCATGGCTCTACCACGTAGAAAACGCCTTGTGCTAATCATTCGCTAAATCTATGTGAAGTGCACTCACTTAGGGATCGTTAATTCAAGTTTAACTTTTTTCGGAACAGTAGTAAAAGTTTATAGCTTCTTTTCGTCATCCACACGTCAATGGGAAACTTTAATAAAAAGTGTAGGCGTATCCGTCAAAAGAATCTCAGAGACAAGATGGATTGCTCATCAGGACGCTGTTAAACCACTGCAGAATAATTTAAAAAATTAGTATAAAAATTCTCGAAGATATATAATCCCAGCAACAACAGAGAAAACGTCGATACAAGAGAAGCAGCATCTACATTCTTACCAGGTTTGTGTCACTTCCGTTTCTTATGCTTTCTTTCCTTTTGGTGTAAAATCCAAAAAGAAATTAGTCAGACACAGAAGTAAATACTAAATAATTAAATAATAATCTAGATTATCACTGGAAAAGTATGTGATAAAAATCAAAGCCCAAAAATTTTTTCTTCAAAGCCAACGTATTTAACTAGTGGAAAAAGTTATTTCCTACGTAACAAAAAATGTGAGAATGTGGACATTTCGACTGAAGGAAGAAGAGGATTGAGGAGATTTCGAAAACGTTCACCAGGAAAAATGACCCGATATGCTGGAATAACATTGCCAGAGGAGCTGCATAGAGCTATGTTTTTTTTTTATAGGATAGGGTAACAAATGAGCACACAGTCCACCTGATGGTAAGTGGCTGGTGTGACCCATAGTCATCTACATTTATCCTCAATGAAGAATAAAATGCAGATGCGTCGTCACCCGTGAGGACTAAGATGGAATGCCTCTTTTCCAGTAAAATGGGTCTCCGGTTCTCTACACTCACCATACGAAACACAGCAGAGTTAAGCTGCCATTTTACGTTGATATTCTCTGAGAGTGTGGTCCTTCCCCAGTCGAACCGACCCATTCGTGCTACAAATGTACTACTAATATAGCAGAGTGTAAAGCTGAATAACACTAAATGTTATTCAGCCTTACACTCTGCTTACGTCACGAGATGAAGATCTTCGTTTAATAGTTCAAAATCTGACAAAAATCTATGATGATTTTTCTGCAGGATATATAATTTTGGAGACTACGATTTGAAAGCTGCCAGCATTTCTTCCCAAGAAGCGGTTCAATGTAATTCATTGGAGCTTTTCTCGTAAAATTGGGCTATTCTGAATCTGTTCCGAATCTAGCGCTGTGTCAAAGATTTTTTTTATAGTTTCATGTGAAGGAAGCTTTTCAAAACTCAAGTTAATAAAATCTAACTTTAGGTCCACAATGGGCCAAGCTGGTCTAACCAATCTTTCCATTTTATCTATCGAAAATGACAGAAATTAAATTTTGATAATATATTAGAATATTATAGTAAAATAAAGTCCCGTTAGCATGTATAGCATTTTTTGTTTTATTTTGGGTGGTGCTTGATAGAAAACCGCCCTGGATGTCAACCCACGCTACTCCGCCACTAGTTAACGTAAGGTTTGATACTGCAGCGAAGCAATCATATAATCAAAATATAAAACGGAGTTTAATTTTAACACTATTCAGCACTTTCCATATTGAACAAAAATATGCATTTCGTTTTCCGTAATGCTATATATATTATTAATATCCTCAAAATATTGTATCATGGACACTCTATCAGAAAGAAATAGAACGTTTAACTCGGTGCCTTTCATTCATTTCAAGGTCACTGATTTAGGAACGTTTCTCTACCACAAACTATATAGAAACACTATCTACGGAAGACCAGCAGGAGCAGGACTTGACAGTTGACACTGCATATTTATCTATGGTTTGAAATATTTCAAGAATTTGACGTTTTTCAATAATTTCCTGGAAATTATTGGTTAAGATTTCGGTTTTATATTTATTATTTTTAAATTTAACATTTGACTCTCAAGAAATAAATTTCAACTCAGATATATAATGGGTAAAAACGGTGTTGTTGCGTTACTTAAAGACTTTTATTATGATCCTTTTAAATGGTAAGTACGCACTATATTTTGTTCATAACCAACAAAAAATGTGATTTTGCTCATGCATTTCATCTTCTCGCTGTACAGAGCTATTGTTTATAATTTTTATGTTGTATTTTTATTATTGGGGCATTTTGGTAACATTTGCTAAATGACCTTTATATGCACATTTGATTTGGGATGAATTTGTATTTGCCTGTCCCAAGCAAGTATATAGGTTTTTATTTATAGTTTGATAAACATACCATGAGAAATTACAAACAATTATTTGTGATTCTAATCCTTGCATTCAACTTAAACATACCTACATATTTAAATTATCTTTTTATTTAATATCTTTAACTATCTTAAGATTTTGAATAAAATATCACAATAGAGATAGTTCGAAGAACCGACAACTGATGGAGAAGAAAGGTTTAAGTGGCAGCCTGATACTGGTAAGCAAAGTGGAGTCCAACGAGATAGAGTAACAACCTGACAAGAGATGTAGAAAGTTGATGGATGATGGTAGCTCATAACCATGCTTTGTGGCATTCCTTGGGGTAGCATTATGCTTAGAAGTGGACTCAAATGATCATAATTACAGCCCTAAGGCTGTAATTATGATCATTTTAAAGGTTGAAATTTAGAATCTAGGCAGGAGGTGCGGGGGATGAGCTTTGTCTCCTTACTACCGACACCACTCCCTTTAAAATGTAATACACCGTTCTTGAGAAAAATCAAAAAGAAAATCCCATAGACCTAACCTCAAAATAACATTTATTGACTCCGGTAGGAGGAGAGAAGAGGAGAGCAGGAATGTGCCCCTCTACCCTTCCCTCCTTGTGGAAAAGTATAGTTAATGAGTATGGTTTTGTTTGTAAAATCATAACCTCACTTTTTTACACAAGAATATTGACCCAAAGTTACTTCTACAACGGCTTAGCCGCTGCGGGAGGTGCAGCCCCTTCGCCCTTGCGTAGCGAATCACAGGCACCCATTGCTCACCTCCGCAGCTCCTACTTATTGGTCACCTTCGGCGACCAGCCTCAGCTGCTACAGCTCGCACAGGTGCCTGAGATTTGCTACGGTGGGTGGGGGCTGCTCTTCCTCCATGCCTACGGCTTTACAAAAACTATACTAGAATTATTTTGTCCGTGCAGTTTGGGTCGTAAATCATCGGAGTATTTCGCTCTCTTTCCCACTCACGGGCCTTAGGGGCAAGCATAGTGATGCACATTATTGTTGTCGATAGGTGTTATCAATAGTGTATTTAGTTTTGTCTTTGTATGTGTATGTGTTTGTGAATGAAAAAAAAAATAGATAAAACAACGTATTTAATAAAATAAGAATAAGGTTTAGCTTTTTTTTTTATAGGATAGAGTGACAAACGAGCACACAGTCCACCTTATGGTAAGTGGTTGCTGTGGCCCATAGACATCTATATTTATTCATTTGCGACATCTATCCTCATTTGCGAATCAAAATGCAGATGTGTTGTCACCCGTGAGGACTAAGATGGAATGCCTCTTTTCCAGTAAAAAGGGTCTCCGGTTCTCTACACTCACCATACGAAACACAGCAGCATTAAGCTGCTATTTTACGCTGGTATTCTGTGAGAGCGTGGTCCTTCCCCGGTCGAGCCGACCCATTCGTGCTACAACTATACTACTAATATAGCTGCAGCATGGCTCTACCACGTAAAAAGCTTTCCATTGACGTCTGTCGAGTTGGGTGTTGATACGCATTTTTACAGAAAAGTTACACTATTATAAGCACACCCAAAGTCTAATCCTACCGTAAAACTGGCGCCATTTTGTAATGTCAATGTCGACGTCAATAGGGATGTCGATTCTTTCCGAAAAAGGTTTGTATTTGTGATGTAAATATAAACCCATTTTATGAAAAACAAGAAAGATACCATGATAAATGATCTCTTATTGAAATTTGTTTTATTTAACAGTACCTATTAGGGCAGATAACAAATAAAATAGGTTAGGTTCAACTTATGTCATAGAACCGAATTGATTGACCCCGACTCCATCTGGTACGAGTGTGTCCTACCCCTAGAGTGGTTTTATAGCGCCGGAGACGTAGCAGTCTCAAAATAGATACAGAAATCCTTCTGAATCAGTCTCCTTATTTTTTTATGACGAAGGGAATTTTTTTCTCATAAAATGGATTTATATTTACATTATAAATGCAAACATGAAAAAAATATAGATATTTTAGAAATCGATTTTTTGGGAATCGATACATCAGCTTACAATTCGAATCTATTTAAAAACTCGATCTTTTTCGGAAAGAATCGACATCCCTACTGACTAATAATAAAAAATGGCGTCAGTTTCATAGTAGGTAGGAATTGAAATAAATATTGCAAAAATATTTGATTTTCAATACTTTTCTCTCAAAAAGTACATGTTTCCGCATATTGAAACTTTGTGTGTGTGCTTATAAAAATGTAATCTTTCTTTAAAAATACGTATCCACACCAAAATCGACGGACGTCAATGGAAAGTCGTACCAAGAATAAAAGACCATAAGTACAAATGTTAGGAATGTAACAAGTTATATTAAAAATAAATATAAAGATAATACCTTATATCTAAAATTAAATCTAAAACTATTTACATTAAAATTCTACATCAGAATCATCAGTCATCCTCATCCACATAAATTACGATATCTTCTGCCAGATGAGATTTCTTCAAGTCTTCCTCTTGGAGTTTTACTGCATGCTTCACACAATCTTTCCAGTTCTTTTGCAATAAATTTTTTTTATAGGGTAGGGTGACAAACGAGCACACAGTCCACCTGATGGTAAGTGGTTACTGTGACCCATAGACATCTACATCTGTCCTCAATAAAGACTCAAGATGCAGATGCGTTGTCTCCCGTGAGGACTAAGATGGAATGCCTATTTGCCCGTAAAAAGGGTCTCCGGTTCTCTACACTCACCATACGAAACACAGCAGCGTTAAGCTGCTATTTTACGCTGGTTTTTTGTGAGAGCGTGGTCCTGCCCCGGTACCCATTCGTGCTACAACTATACTATTGATATAGCTGCAACATGATGGCTCTACCACGTAAAATGTTTAAAATTGCTTCATGCAGTAACACTTTGACGTCTGCAATTTTAAAAGTGCTGTTTTTGGTGGCAACTTCATTTATTGCTTGAGTCCATACCAACTCAATTGGGTTATATTGGCAATGGTAAGGTGGTAAGTTAATCACTTCGTATCTCTCGACTCCAAAGCTAACTGATCCAATTTGTATATTTTTTCTGGTCGGTTCCGTTGTACCTGTAAATATAATGTTGTTTGTATATTCAACTAAATACTTAAAAGAAAACAAATGCATTGTAAACTTTAAATAATAAAATCTGAAATACCTTTTGTAATAGTTTTGGCTTGAGCTCACTATCATTAAACTCAATCCCGTGTTGGCGGTGCCACTCTGAAATTCACTCTTTTTGTTTACTGATGTCGGTGCCCGATTTATTTGCTGGGAGTGGTAGGGTGCGTTGCTCATTATGATGACTGATGGTTCCAAGACTGCAGCAGCTTTGTAAACCTCTCTGTGAAGCCTTCAGCATTCATTTCTGAATGGTAGTCCTCATTCTGAGACTTCACAGCACGGAATATCCATCTGGCTTCGGGTATAAAACCACATTTTGCACAGCCTGCATGACAAACTGAAATAACATAATTAAATGAATATCATATTTTGTATTAAATTATTATTAAGTCGTATTTCTTACATAAAAGATGAAAGAATATTTACCAATTAGTCTGCCACCCTTTCCCGTTTAAGCCGCCTTGTCCATCCTTGTCTAGCTAAATTCGCTTGCGGCTGTGATTTTGGTTCACCCGAGTCTCATGTAAATAAATTCTTAGTCGAGTGTCTTCACTATCTCTCAGGGTCTTGAGTTTTCTCAGGAATTGTAGCCGCGCACAAACGATGTCAGTCCTTTCCATCAATTGTTTACGACCATCTGGAGCTTGTGTGTACTTGTACCCAAGTTTTATGAGTATTTTACGCATAGAAGAAATGGAACACGGGAATCCGTCAATTCTTTCTTTTGCTGTACTCAAAATTTTAGCCGTGGAAGGATATTCACCGTCGCGATAAAACGATGACACTATTTGTTTAATTACACTTTTGTCAAAGTTGTCTAACGCAGTTACTGTACAAAGTCGATAGACGCTTTCTCGCGGAGAGCGAACTTCTCCCTTTACACCCTCTTTTTTAATTTTGTCGACCGCTCTAACACTCACACCACATATCGGCGCAGCAAGTTCACGAGAACAGCAGAAATTAACACTTTGTGACTTTTCGGGATCTATTTTCATTTTAGTGAAAAATGTTAAAACATTGTTGATAACAACACGTGCTTATGCTGGTATATTGGTGCCAACAGGCAAAATATTATTTTGAATAAATTCTGCCGTTTTGGTACAGAACAAAGGAGTAGCCATTGTCACTAAAGAAATTCAGAGAGCGAATGCGCAAAAACAAACTTCTCTTCGATATATGTACTAAATTATCATTGCACTAATTTGCAGGTATTAGACGGGGGTAATAATGGAAAACAAATGACTCATAACATAACAATGTCGCACCACCCTTTGTATACCGCACCGCCGCCGTGTACCTGCCTTCGATGATTCATTTGTTGTTATCGATAATAGCGTTGCGCCCGCGCAACATGCTCACCGCCCTCATCCGGGCTGAGACCGAGCTATGATTTATGACCCCAACTGCACGGACAAAATAATTTTTCTATAGGAGTAGGGCAGACAAGACTACGTGAAGTAGGGGCGTGCTGGTTTAATTTTAGTACAGATTCGATCAAATCAGATATCTTATCTATAAAGTCAGGTTGCCTTTGCTCCCACCACAACCTTTTAACCTTTTACAACTGAAAGTAATTCTGGGTGTTCAAGTATTTCTGGGCAGTTTTAAACAATTCAGAAATAAAACACAGTATTATAATCATTTCTTTATTATCTGTAAAAATAATTTATTATTTTTATTAATTCCTCAAAAGGATTTTTTTAAAAGGACAAGGTGACAAGAGAGCACACAGTCCACCTGATGGTAAGTGCTTTATCCTCGTTTGCGAATCAAAATGCATTCTCTTAGAGCGTGGTCCCTCCCCGGTCGAGCTGACCCATTCGTGCTACAACTATACCAGTAATATAGCTGCAGCATGGCTCTGCCACTGTTTCTTTAATTTCACATAGTTTGTTACTATTCGACACCCATACATAATATTCACATACATACCTTTTAATTTTATTCAATATATAGCATTTATTACAGCTTATTCATAAAAGTTTACTGCTGAACATATTGCTTGCCTCATAATGGGGCGATATTCACCATAAGAGTCACTCTTGGCAGGCGGGTTTACAGTTTTTTATTATGTAGAACTATTATCAAGAAAATGCTGCTGCCCATCTCCTGCTTTATTTCCCTCTGTCGCCTCCCACGACACCCACGGGATTATGTGGGGTACTAAGATTCTTGTGAAATATAACTCCAATATTTTGTTTCACTTAAAATGCTAACAGACTCACTTCTTGCGTGTTAATAATATTAAAGATGTCATATACCATATCTAAATTGTATATTAGTGTCATATCAAGGTTAAGTTTTTCATTATGTCCAATAAGATTAGTAGTTGTAAATATATTACATATGTATATATGTTGGTAATAATTATTATTCAAACGAAGCAGAACTTTACATTACTCATTCACAATTTACGAATTATTCTTTTGTTTTTAATTAGGTTTTAATTTTGTTTTTAATTATTACTTTACTCACAGAACAACAACTAAAAATAATAATTGGAGATAATCAACACTCAAGATATATGATGTCTAATTTTTATTTATGTTTGCGTTATCTTTCAGGTCAGTTGTGAAGAGCGTGGGGTTTTTCACAGTCGGCATAGTGATCGCTAGCGAGTGCACCGGCTTGGAAGTGATGCCCGCAGTGCCGCAATAAAAAAAACCTTTCGTGAACTTTTATTTTTTAAGAACAAATAAAATGCTAACTTATTTTCTATTTACGTTTATGCTCGCAAGCGTAGCTTGTGAAAATGAAAAGAAACCAAACTTCGTCGTAATTTTAACAGACGATCAAGACGTAGTGCTCGGTGGTATGGTTAGTAGCAATAGATATGAAATAAGAAAATAAACAATGTGAAGTAAGGAACTGTTGTTTTATTTTTTCTTTTCAGAACCCTATGAAGAATGTGCAACGTTTCATCGGTGATAAAGGCGTCACTTTTACGAATGCTGTAAGTTAGAACTATTTTGTGTATTTTAAAATTTAAAGTCCTTGTTTATTTTCTTCGTTTCTTTTGACCGATTAATTTTATTTTTTGTAATATTGTAGCGACAAACGAATACAAAGTTCAATTGATGGTAAGTGACTACAGCCCGTGAACAACTTCAAATAATTACAATAAAAGTAATTTTACGGATTTCTTCGCGTTTAATTTTAACTTTTTTTAATTTCTGACGTTTCGGCCACTTTACAGCACCCATGGAGAATTGAGGTTTTTGACGTCCTGACGAAGGCTATCTTGAAATTTTTTTTATTAATTTATTGAAGTCTTGCAGTAGTGTGCTTAGATTTGGATTTAATTTTAATTTTATTAATTATGGGATCCCAAGCAAATGGTAGCACCCAGCCATCTTCTCTATTGAAATAAGGAAGTTTTTTTTTAATTTCAATAGCCTCGCTACTCGCGAATCATCCTTGGTAGGGGAATCAAGTTGCTGTAAATTCCGGAATTAAAAAAAATTAACGCGATAAAATCCGTAAAATTACTATTATTCTATGTGTAGTATTCGCGTAAATATAAGAAATCATAACTTCAAATTAGGTTAAGGATACGTAGCCTCTTAAAACGAAATGGTATGCCTCTATCTGTAATAATTATAGTACTGGTTCTCTATTATCTTCCTCTTTTTTTAAATAGAATATGAGTGACAAATAACGTACCTAAGTTTACTAAATCTATGGTGACAAACGAGCACACAGTACACCTGATGATAAGTGGATGCTGTGGCCCATAGACAACATCTACATTTATCTTCGATTAAGAATCAAAATACAAATGTATATCATAGTATCGTAAATCAAAATACCCTTCTAAGTACTAAGATGGAATGCCTCGTTTCCAGTAGAAAGTCTCCGGTTCTTACACTCCTCACAGCACCATTAAGCTGCTATTTAAAATTTATTTGCTAGTTAAAAGATTTGGACCACGTCAATAAACAAGCCACGGCTACTACGACCCCCCGCCACGACAAGGCGGGATCCCGTTCGGGGGGATACGTTATGAACCTACAGAGCCAGAGCCCTGAATGAGTTAAAAACGGGGGACAATCACAACGCACAAATTACTTTCTATATCCGAACAGATCCGATTTGTGATTGGATGATTTCGCATTAATGTTGGCTACGGCTCTGACTGGAACTCGGAACTCAAAACACTCGAAGTCAAATAATTTGAAATTAAAAATTTTGTACAACCGACTTCAATATAAATTATTAAGGATGACTCAAACACTACTGGTCAGACCTCTATTAAATTTATATGGGACCATATAAGAAGCACCAGCTTTCAAAAAAAAAAGAATCATCGAAATCGGTCCACCCAGAAAAATGTTATGAGGTAACACAGAAAAAAAGAACATATAGACGACTTTTTTGCCACCAGGGCGGCGCCACTAGAAACTGAGGTATAATATTTTACAGATTTCATAGTGTGGAAGTTAATTTGTTCGAAAAATGTAAAGGTTATTGTTTCTTTTTGTTATATTAGCTATATTTTATATTAATAACATTAAAAATAATTTAACCAAACCACAGATATTCATAAAAGTAGAAAAATTTAAAAAAGTTAAAAATGTGCAAAAAATTAAAGAACAAAGCACTGAGGCATTGTTTTGTGTATTAATATAATACTCTAGAAACTGATAAACATTTATTAAAAAAAAAAACTCAATTAAATTATATTGTGTAACAAAAAACTTTACCTCAGTGTCAACTAGCGACATCTGGTGAGCAGAAAATTATTAACCCTCATTGGGTACCTCCTCCTTTTTAAAGTCTGTAGATAAAGATGTTTTATCTCACGAAGGCGCGCGAGTCTTTCTCTGCTGCTTAGCAAATGACATTAATTTATTACACACCTAAGTTTTCTACGTTTACTTTGCGTTCTGACGATACTCGATTAAAATTTTTGAACACAATGTGCATGTGCACCCACATACCAACTCGCCATCGTGAGATACAAGTACTATACTCTAACCACTAAATAATTGTTATAGTAACATGGGAAATAGGTGTAGTTACACACCATACCGACCATATTCCCAAAGTGGGCAGAATACACTCTAATTGGGTACGATTTGGTCTGCTCACACTATCTGTTTCTCCATTTAGTGAGTAAAGGCAGTGACATTATAATAAAGCAAAGTGACTATAAATACTTATTTATTATTAACTTACTTCAAAATTGTTTGGTTAAAAAATTACATAATCTATTTTAAAGAAACTTGTCTCTGAATCTTAAGTAAGTTTAATGAGAAGAAATAGAAAGTTACCTGGCAGATAACATTAAAACTTATCTATTATAGACTGGTTCAATGTTAGTTTGTTGCAATACTAGTGATCCGCCCCGGCTTCACACACTTGATTTCTGGATCTCGACGACAACCTACCGTTCCAATTATAAATTTAAACCATTCTCGAATCTACTTAATCACGCACACAAAATTTCATCAAAATCGGTCGAGCCGTGTAGGAGAAGTTCAGTCACATACACACGGACAGAAGAACTATATAATTATTACAATTTGTATTTATTATAAACCTTTCTATTGAATCATGCTGTCTATTGATGAAAACCGCATCAAAATCTGTTGCGTAGTTTAAAAGATCTAAGCGTACAGACTGCGGGAAGCCACTTCGTTTTAAACTATGTAGAGATGTAGACATATTCAGCAATGAGTTGCGAATTCGTATAGGAAAAGTATTTTTTTTTTAATACGGTACTTATTATTTTACGCTTGTACTTGATATACAGAATTATCTCCGTGGTCAAAATCGGCTAAGAGTTCATCAACATTTTAATTGGGATCCGTGCGTTACTACCAGAGCTCTTATTACCCTCGAGTAAATTTTACTACTTAGTTAATGTACTAATGCAATTTTGCTTTTTTTCCTCGAAAGTCAAAACCTCTAAAGTAATGCAATCACCTCGAATTCCAAAGATGTAAAATAAATTTGTTAATGACTTTTATATTATAGTTATTAAGTTGTATCATGTATGGTTTAGTTACGCTAGCATGGAGTGCTTCAAATCGTAGAATCGCCACCTCAGAGAATTGTTAGGATCAATATAAGGTATCTCTTAAGAGTATATACCTACACATAAGCATAGCTTGCTTATATATACTCTAAGAGATACCTACATATTCCATCACAATTATAAGATCATAGAATATTCATAAACATTCCCAAACCTCGTAACGACACTCAAGTTTTATTTATTTACTAGCTGTGCCCCGCGGTTTCACCCGCGTCATTACGTGTCGGTGGTGCGCGACATGACCTAGTTCAAGCATTTTATAATTGCAATTAAATATTTTATTTGATAGCAATGGATGGAAAAATTGGTATAATTAATTAATTAATGGATTACTTTTATCTGTCGGTATATTATGTATGATGTAGAGCGAAGTTAAGTTTTATCCACTCCCCCCCCTCCCGACTGAGCGTCCTCCCCTCCGCCCCACGTCCCAGAAAGTGTCCTGAAGCGCGGTTTTTTCCAGTTTTAAAGAAAACCGACCACGATACTTGAAAAGTGTGTAGGCATGAAATGATTATTGAGCTATCAACCTCTTATACTTATTAATGAATTAAATTTTCAAAATACCATAGCAACGTGAAATGAAAGAGTTCAGAAATAAAGATGTAACTAATCATTGTCATAAAAGTACTCAATTAATTTTTAATTTATTTTAGCTATAATGATTGAACTAACCTCGCTCTTAGAAGCTTTCTATACTGGCTTCTCGCAATTCTCACCGCGCGGCTACGGTTTAGAGTCGTTTAGTTCGCGCGCCCAGCCAAGTATTGAATTATTTTAATTTTACATTATCTCTTAAACTGTGCGTCCAAATAACATGGTATAAAGAACAAAGTTTATCTTCATAAAATTGTCTTGATGATGATGTAACTTTCGTTCGTAAGGATAAATAGGCCATGCCTAATAATAACGTTCATAAATCACTTTTAAATTTTCAATATTTTTTTGTCACAAAATACCTAATTATGGCTCATGTATAACAAATAGACATATGGCATCGCGGACTTTTTTTTAGACGGAGTAAAGATCTATATTTTTCTAGAACATTGTATTTACGTATTCCTAACGATAACACCAGCGTACGCGGATAAATCATTTCTGGAGTGCTTTTTCTTTTGACTTGCTTAACAAATATCCATATTTAAGGCTAGCTGAGTGATATAGCTTAATGCTAGATAGCCTATACTATTCCACATGAATCTGGCTATAATATGCAAAAAGAATTTTTCAAATCGGACTGGTAGTTCCAGACATTAGCGCGTTTAAACAAACAAAAAAAACAAAAAACTCTTCCGCTTTATTATATTAATATTTATAATAATTATTTATTACCATTAACACGCGTAGGTAGTAAGTACTTTGGTACAGAGCAAGAAGGTCATCAACTTTAAAATAAAATCAACGTTTGCGTCCGTGCTGGTGGTAATTATTGTTTTTTTTAAATTTAAAAACTTAAACTATTGAATACAAGGAATTTGTCTTTACTATATTGTTTTTGAGGATTTTACTCCCAAATATTTCTATGTAAGTATACTGATTCTGCTCAGCGGCTTTAATACATTGCGCATAATAAGTTACGGTCAATTCGACGTAACTCCTTCAGGTTTAATTATTGCTAATTAAATAATTAGTTTAGGTACCTAAGTATTTTTGTCAAAAGTGCGGGAACTCCGATTCTTTAACGCATTTAGCACGGAGAGTTCTCTGAAGCATTGACCAAATTAATTCCAGCCACCAAGTTCCACCATCGCACATCGCGACAAATTTTTCGATATCATCCACACCATCTAGGTGCTGGGCGTTCTACCACTGTGCAATTTCCCAGAAATTTTCTTCTCTCACGACCACTTTGTGGAAAGTTATTTGACCGATTCGACTTATGGACCTTCAAAAAAAAGTCTACTCCTTTTTGAAAGGCCAGCAACGCCCCTACAATTCCTCTGGTGTTGCAGTTGTTTTTGGGCGGAGGTAGTTACCATCACGTGACGTGAGCACGTTCAATTATCCCCAGGCCTACCTATTGACAGTTTTAGTGTAGTTGATATTGGTTCTGTTGTTGGTACGTTTAAATTTATTTTAAAACACGTAATAAATGTAATGAGCTATCTATCACTTTAATCGCCTCAAACACAATGATGAGATGGGTAGATAGATGGATTCTCTTTTGCCGCCTTATTATTGTTCATATTGGGCTTATAAGCTGTTAGATAAATTAAAATATGGTCTTTCAAACAGTCTATTAAAACCCATTTGAGCCTGCTAACTAATAAAACTGCTATATTTAGTGACACTACTCTCAGATTTTTGTACTTATATAAAATCACTTTTGTCAATCCTTATAGTACACAACGTCACCAATTTGCTGCCCAAGTCGCGCAAGTTTCCTCACGGGGCTATACGTTCACAACCACTTGACAGTGAACAACAGCCTCAGCGGTGGGTGTTACGGACGTTCCTGGAAATACTTGGAGACGCAGACGTTTGCCGCCACGCTGTCCGGAGCCGGGTATAATACTTTCTACGCTGGAAAGTATCTAAACGAGGTAAGTGATATTACTTTATTAACAGAATGTATAATTTAAAGAATCATCCAAACATTTTACTATGATTGTGACGGCATCGAGGAATTCAATTGTCGAACATATTGTGTCGGATCACAGGATCGGGTTTGTTCGAGCGTACATAGTCGAGCTGTTTGTCGGAGCGTTCATCGTACATTTCTTCATCAGGTCGTTAAATCGACTGCTGCATCTCCCGTTATGGGGAGGGATTACGCTTGGCCGCCTGGATTGAATATCGCGGTAACGTCTACCGTTCAGCAGAGTTGACGTTTCCCGTCGCCGTCGACGATTTGAATGTTTTGTGCTTGGCGTAAACGAGATGGCTATACCGTCACCTAGCAGAAGTAATAAGATCCATGTAGCGTATCATAAAGTCGAGCTTTACGACACCAACAGTTGAAATGGATTGTCTCATGCCGCGATTAAAGAGTATATTATAATCAATACGTGATAGCCGCAACCACACGTAAACGTCACAATTTTTTGGAACGAAATTACTAAAACAGGAGGGACAGCAGCATTTTCCTGAGAACATTTTAATAAATGTTATAAGGTGATTGCCACCATGCTGGTTCTATGAAAATTCTTTTAAAAATTGTACAAACAAAATTATTGTTAAGTGTAATTAAAAAAAAAGTCCCGCTGGGTTTCTTGCTGGTTCTTCCCAGGACAGAGGTATTTTCCGAATCCGAACCGGTGGTAAATAAAAAATGACTTTCAATGAGTATTATGTAATAAATTTTGCAATATTGAATAAAAAATCATTCTATACTATTCTATTCTAATAATAATAAAAAAGCTACAGTTGCCAAACCGCCTGCCAAGCGTGGCTCCGCTCTATGAAGCAATCAATCCTCCAGTCGGCCTTTGATAGACTGTAATGAATGATTTTTATACGTGGTAGAGCCATGCTGCAGCTATATTAGTAGTATAGTTGTAGCACGAATGGGTCGGCTCGACCGGGGAAGGACCACGCTCTCACAGAATACCAGCGTACAATAGCAGATTAACGCTGCTGTGTTTCGTATGGTGAGTGAAGAGGAATCGGAGACCCTTTTTACTAGAAAAGAGGCATTCCATCTTAGTCCTCACGGGTGACAATCTGTATTTTTTTATATTCTACTAAGCCAGCGCTTAACTACAATCCCACTTGATGGTAAGTGGTGATGTAGCCTAAGATGGTGAAGCGCACTGACTTAACAAAAGCCTATTCACTCTTGCCTTGAAGACTTTTGATTCTTTATTGAGGATAGATGTAGATGTCTATGGGTCACAGCAACCACTTACCATCAGGTGGACTGTGTGCTTATTTGTCACTATCATATTAAAAAAAATGAAAAAAAAATATGTATGTGAAGTTTGCAACCACGCACTGTAAGAGCGGGGCAAACGCATAGATTAAACGAGAAATCTATGGAAGGATGGGCGGACTTTCGGCTCCATGACCCTTTTTGCAATAAGAAGGTAACAAGAAAGGCTGTGTGCGCAGAAGTTAAAGGTTTATGGGAAAATTATTTTATTTTTTACAGTATGGTGTAAAAGCAGCTGGTGGTCCTGAGCAAGTTCCTCCCGGCTGGAAGGAATGGCACGGTCTAGTCGGCAACTCTGTTTATTACAACTTCACGTTGTCCAATAACGGCGTCCCAACGTACTCCGCCGATCTCTACCTCACTGATATCATAGTAAGTATGAATAAATTTATCACCGTTAAATATTTTCTTTAGTAATATTTTTTACTTTACTGCACACTTTATTGTATGACATATATTCGATTGACATAGATCCAAATATAAAATCTAAGTATTTATGATTAATTTTTCATACGTAGTACAGTGTAGAGAGCACAGATATATTATTATGGTTGTAGTACGAACTACGAATGGGTCGGCCCGATCGGGAAAGGACCACGCTCTCATAGAATACCAGCGTAAAATAGTAGCTTAATGCTGATGTGTTTCGTTTGGTGAGTGTAACAAACCGGAGACCCTATTTACTAGAAATGAGGCATTCCATCTTAATCTTGACAACGCATTTGCATTTTGTTTCTTTATCGGGCATAAATGTAGATGTCTATGGGCAACAGCATCCACTTACCACTGTGAACTGTGTGTTCATTTGTCAGCCTTATTTTATAAAGAGAAAAAAAATAATTTTAACTTTTGACAGATATTTAAACTTTACACTATTTTCAGTCACTTCAATTTTTTCCGAATTTTACCAAATATTAATTGTGGTAAAATTATTAGAGTATAATTCATAGTTTCACCCGCTAATGATAATACTAAAGTGAATAACAATATCTGTAAAGTTTATTGCAGCGTCCAGCTTCATCCTCAAGCTCGGAAGCGCTAGAACTCAGAGCCGTAAAGCCAGTTTAAAAATAAACGTCCAGCTTCCTACAATATAAAATATTTAAAATAAAATTATTTCCCGATTTATTTTTGAAATAGCGAATTCATAAATCTTTACGTACATAAAGCTTCATTCATAGTTATTATATAAAGGAGTAACGGTAAAAAAAAGCCTTCATTTTTTTATTTCAACTAAAAAAATTATGATTTTTTAACTAATTATACATATTTCAGAGAGACCTTAGCCTCGGCTACATAGAAAATCAAACAGAATCGCAACCGTTCCTAATGGTACTCGCCCCTCCAGCTCCCCACCAGCCGTTTGAACCCGCGCCCCGACATAAGGGCGTCTTCAGCAACGTGACCGCTGTCAGACATCCGAACTTTAATGTAGCTGATAACGTAAGTACTTCTTCTTCATCGGCATGTAACCAGCAGTCTACTGCTGTTCATGGGGTTGCCATATTCGCTAAACTTTGTAATGTGTTCAAAATACAAAATAAAACAGGTTGAATATTGTTATGTATGGGTCTTTACCTATGAAATTGTCGTTTTTTATGAAATAAGTTAACGTAAGTATTTTTCTATATTTTTTATTTCTATTAATCAAAGTAATCACCCATGCAATGGATGAATCTTTGCCAATGCAGTAGCAGTTAATTGATGCCCTTCTTGAAGAAATCAGCTGGACGGGAGGCAACAAATTCTTCAAAGACGTTTTGTACTGCCTCTCGGGTATTGAATATTTTTTTCCACCAAAAAGTTATCCGAATTCTGGAAAAGTAGAAGTCTGTAGGCGTAAGGTCTGGTGAGTACGGCGGATGACGAAAAGCTTCCAAACCCCAGCTCTTGTAATTTGGAGACCGTCTATTGTGCAGTATGAGGTCGCGCGTTGTCGTACAGGAGCAGCGGGGACGAGCGATTGACCAAAGCTAAATTGAGGACGTGCGAGCTTCTCCATCATTGTGTTCAGTTCTTCATAGTACACATCTGCAGTAATGCTTATGCCGCTTGGTAAGAAGCTGTGATGAATTACACCGGCGCTAGACCATCGAACAGTGACCATCACTTCCCAAGAGGTAAGTTTTCGTTTAGGGCATTGTTTAGGTGCTAAACCAAGGTCTAACCAACTTGCTCAGCGCTTGCAATTGTCACCGAAACCACTACAACAGAAACCATTTTTCGTCGCAGGTAACAATGCGGTTCAAAATTCCTTCGTTTGTGTGCCTGTTGAGCAGTGTTAGGCACGTTTCGACACTTACTTCGCGCTGGCGATCATTTAGTTTGTGGAGCTCCCATTTGTCAAGCCAATTTGACGCAAAATATTGTTTTGATGCTAACGTTGAAAGATGTTGCTAAGTCAGCCGTAGATTGTATATATTAGTATCATCAGCTTCCACAATCGCCTTTAATTCGTCATTGTCGACCAGTTTTCGGACGATCACGGGGTTTCCAGGTCGAAATTTCGAGAACGGAAGCGGGTAAACCAGTAACAGATAGTGCGTTCGTTTATAGTATTCGCTCCTTAAAGGTCGTTTTTTTTATAGGAGAGGGGGCAAACGAGCATGCGGCTCACCTGATGGTAAGTGACTACCGCCGCCCACGAACAACCGCAATATCAGGGGAATTGCAGAAGCGTTGCCGGCCGTTAATGTTACGTGCCGATTGTGCCGCGTTGCCGCCACGACGGTACTCATATTCCATAATTACTCGAATTTTCAACGTATCTATGATGACGAAAAGAGTCAAATGCGATAAAAACATAACGCTAAGCAAAACCAAATGACTAATTTTGAAAAAAGAATTCCATGATTTTAAAATAAAATTAATTTGAAATTAGAATTCTTAGCTAAACAAAAATTGTTTTGAGTTGAAATTGCCAGTACTACAGAATGGCAATTTCATAGGTAAAGACATATTATTGTGCTTGGTAGGATGACAAAAGACAAACTGTCATAAGTGAATATAAAATTTACTAAGACTACTACGTTCTTCTCTTCTTCCTTATGACCAATCTCAATCGCGATTACCACTCCCGAATTTCATTCGTGATCAAATATAATTATATATACTATATTCCTATATAGTATATGTAGTTCTATTATATATTCTCTTATATACTATACATATACTGTATTGTATGTGGTAAAGCTACGTAAACGTAAACTCGAGGCTCCACCCTAAAACAGCCACCCTAATATAAAATAAGTTAAATATATTCTTTATTATTAGTGCAATAAGGTAGTATACATTGTAGGGTGGACTTTCCAGGGTGGATAAACGGAATATCCCATTAACTCGACCGGGGAAGGACCACGTTCTCACAGAATAGCAGCGTAATGTTGCTGTGTATCGAATAGTGTGTGTAGAGAACCAAACACCCTATTCATTGGTAACGATACCTTTTACATCTTAGTCCCCAAGTTTATCAGCGCATCTTCTACCATCAGGTGGACTATGTGCTCGTCTGACATCCTTAATGCTATTAAAAAAAACTATTAATCCTTTTCAGGATAAACATTGGCTCATTTCAATGCCGCCTTCCCCTTTGCCAGATGAAATGATGCCAGAACTAGATCGTGTTTATCGATCGCGTTGGGAATCTTTGCTCGCCGTCGATGAAATGGTGGCGGATGTCGTCGAAGCTTTGGACACCAACTCTCTCCTAGATAACACATACATTATCTTTACTTCGGATAACGGATATCATATAGGTATTTGTTTCTCATTCATGTTTCCATCAGTTTTTAATCCGTTACTGGATATGACTGACTGGGAAGCAAGCTAGAAGATAAGCAGAAGCATCTTTCTAATTATAACTAAAAAAATAAAAATATGAGGTTGCCAATCCTCCTTCTAAGAGTGGCAGCTGTGGCAAATATACTTCTTGATGAGCTGTAACGGTATCCATCAGAGAATCAATTTGGTTGATAAGCGCCCGTTTAATTAATTCAGCTGCACGTCATCATTCTGTAGATTTGACGGCTCCGTGACGCAGTGGCTTAGCAATGAGTTGTTGCGCTGGGGGCCGCGGGTTCGAATGCCAAGTATTTGTATGGCCTACAAATAATTGTTCCGACTCTGGATGTTTGTCCTCGTGCAATTTATGTTTGTAAACTGCCTCCACGATACAGGAGAAAATTCTAGTGTGGTGGTAAAGTTTCTTAAATAACAAGAAACAAGATTTGAGCTTGATGTGTTCGAATGTATATCCCTCCATTTATCTGTCACCAGAACTGTTGATTTGTTATCTGTATTATTAGATTTAATTTTTACCGCTATAAAGAGTTTAGTTCCTACGTTTACTAAGAAAAGATGTCGGAATATTATAACATTATTACTTCATACTCATCAGGTCAGTTTTCCCAAGTATATGATAAAAGACAACCCTACGAGACGGATATAAAAGTGCCGTTAATAATAAAGGGGCCGGGTATCCAAGAAAACGTCAAAAACGACCAACCGATCGTTAACATTGATTTGGCGCCAACTATAATCAGTTTGGCGGGCTTGAAACCGCCTAAAACAATGGATGGCAAAGCTATAGATTTCAATAATAATATAACAAAGGAGGAAAGAACTTTCCTTGTGGAATACTATGGCGAAGCGAGAGATGGGACAGTAGATCCGAAATGTCTATGGAATTACGATGACGAAAATCTTGCTGTAAGTATTTGGTGTTTATTTCTTTAATATTGATTAGTTTTTCATTTATTGCAGCCTATTAAGATCCACTGCTGAAGTTAAATGTGAATTAAACGCTTTATTGCGTTTACATACACTCCACAAACTCTTGAAAAAAGGAACATTACAAATCACACAAAATGCACCTCATTTGTTCAATCTGTCAGTAATTATTGGTTGGCAACATTTAAAACTTACTTTGGCAACAAACTTAAGTATGTTTTTACTCTATGGGCGGCAGTCATTACTCTGTGCGTCTGTTTGACCATAGATTGACATTGGCAGTATGAACGTAAACAATGAATGTTTTATTTTATTTAATGTAATGAATTTTAAAACATATTATATATAAATTTTACCTTACTGCACTCTTTCTCCATATGTACATTAACTGTGCTAAACCTCACACTTACACAGCACGTTTATATGCTTAAAAAGGGGTACAGATTTCTTTTCACGTAATAATATTGTTAGAAATTGTTATAAAATGGTAACATGTATATCTTTTTGAAATAAATCAGTGAGTTGTCAGCTTTTCACAGAAACACGTTTTTTCCATTTATAAATAATAAATATATAGTAACTATACTACCATCTGGCAGAGGTATGTAATAGGTGAACTCATTAGACGTCTATGGGCATAGATATTTTTAATTTTTTTTTAAGTAAATAAAGTTTAATCATCGTGTATACCCTTCCTTACGTTTTGCAAGTAACTTGAACTTGAACCGGCAGTTAAGTAAAAAGTTTACTTTAAATATTTGTAATGATTAATAATTAATTAAGAATTGATATAATGATAGATCAATTTGATAAGTCTATGAAAAAAAAAATAAAAAAAATTACTCTTTGCCATACGCTTCTACTTCGTTCACCCGGTATAATAAATTGAAATTCTTTATTGGCTAGTAAATAGGTACAAAAATATTTTGTACTTGGTGTTATAAAACAATGTGTTAAGAAAACCTATTTAGCTGTTTTCAACAGCATGCAAATGTCTAATAGTTTTTATAAGATAATTAGTTGCTAAACTTAATCTAAAACACATAACTAAAAACATCCTTTTACAAATTTTATAACTAAATAAATTAATATAAATAAATTAATTCATGCATCGAAATTTAATCACTACAATTTAAAAACTCATTTATTGTGTAGAATGTTTTTTCTACCAGCCATCGTCGTAATGAAATTTTAAACTTGTGGTATGGTAATTGCTTAATATGTGAGGGTATTTTATTATAAACTAGCTGTGCCCGCGGCGTAGCTCGCGAATATAGGTTTTACTTAAAGAATTTGACGTTTAGGTTAAGAGAATATTAATCGATTTATATCATTACTGTATGAATAAGTGGTAACAAAATAAATCGATATGCTCAAAGTTCTAAGTCGTTTATGATAGAGCTTATGTGTAAACGACGATAGAAGTAGACTTAGCCGGGGCGTACAGAAAAAGGTTACGGGGACTACTAAAGCGGGAAAAAGCAACATAGAGTTGGCAATGTGCAAAACAATCAGTACTGAGGTCCACTCCTGCAACGCGTAAAGTTTGACCTTGCGCTTTATTTACGATCGTCGCATAACACACGCTGAGTGGGAAACACACTTAAAATAGGGATGTTAGATGATCATCGATGTTAAAAATTAAAACTTCGATGTTTTAACATCGATGTTGACATATGTCAAACATCGAAACATCGACGTCAATGAACCCATAATCATAATTGGGAACTTGCAAACAATGCGAACTCGCGAAATCAATATCAACTAAATCTTGCATCTGCTCTGAAGATTAAAAATTTTGAATAATTCAGAATTTCTAAACGCATCGTTAACCTAAAAAAATGTCAGTATGGTGAGTCAAACTTAATTGTCAAGTGTCTCCTGTAATGTCACAATGGTCACTGCTTTCGCTTTATTTTGTAGTGTCGTTGTCGGTTGTCACATAATAACTATTCTACGTAAATTGATATTCAAGTTAATTGTTACTTTTGCCTTGCTGTGTATACCCACATAATTTTGAAACAATGTGTAAGTATCTGCACATATACAAAAACCATCGATAATGGTCAACATCGATGTTTTGAGTAGCCTAAACATCGAACATCGATGTTGAGCTATCGATGCCAACATCGATGTCATCATCGATGTTATTATCCCTATCTTAAAACTGAAGCCAGAGCCGTAGTAGCTCATATGGTTAGCGCTCGCTGTAAGCTTCACAGTACTCGAGCAACCCGGGTTCGATCCCCGCCGGCACCAATGATATTTTAAGTGCTGATTTACCACGTGCTCGGCGGTGAAGGAAAACATCGTGAGGAAACCTGCATGTCTGAGAAAAAAAATATTTCGATGACATGTGAAGTTCGCCAACACGTATTGGGGCAGCGCGGTGGACATTTCCTTGCCCTAAAACCCTCTCAGAAATGAGAGGAGGCCTGTGCCCAGCAGTGGGACGTAAATTGGCTGCAACTTTACTTTACTTAAAACTGAAAGGAAAGTTATTTGGTATTAGAGGGATTCTGGGTATGAAACAATATCAGTATCACGACATTTATTGCAATTTTTCTACTTTTAGTCGAGTTTCGTTGAATAATTGAATATTTCAATATCTCTTATTTCTTGCTTTTGTTTCCTGTGATTTTTGTGATGTGTTGTTAGCCTACACGGCTCTTACCTCTTACAGGCAGGCATAGATTGCTGTATATATACCCTAAAGGCTTGCAGCTTCGTCTGGCTCATGGCCATATATTATTTCAGTGAGTCTTAATACGATTCAACTGCGAAAAATCTTAACACCGCAATTCAGAAAAGGTTGTTATTTGTACAACGCCATCTATTACGTTCTTTGTGAGAAAACATCCTTTTTTAATTTAAAACATTTTTTACTGTGTTTTAGTACTATAATAGAACGTTTTTTACACACGAATCTTTTTGTTACTATTTCTGAGATTTTGTGGCGCCATTAAACAAATTCGAACCTACATTTCAAAATAATAATCATAACTCGATAGAATTAACCAATTTCAATAAAACAAAGATTAAATGAACTTGATAATACGCTTTTTGATTTTCTTCAGGATTTCATTAAAAAAAGATGTTTACTCAAAACGTCATGCGTTCAATTGACACGATTGATACAATAAAAACATAAAAGAACTTATAAATCAGTGCCTGCATAGTAAGCAAAAAAGAAAGTTTGATCCTCGCCGAAAAACGAAATTGTTAATAGCTCTTAAAATTTGATTTACCACATAGTGTACTCGGCGGTAAAAAAATAAAAAATAAATGAGATTGTCAATACGCAGTAGGGCAGCGTATCGTTAATATAAAGGTTAGAAGCAAATATGAAACTCATCTACAGGAAAAAAAATTAACCTGCCTTTTTATATCATCATTTGTGCCACACCACCATCTATCGATGAAATTGGTTAACTATTGTACTTTAGTTTAGATAATAAGGTTAATATATTTTGTATATATTTATTACGTTCTTTATGTAATACTTTTGTTTACTGCGTTTTAGATATAATTATATAATTATAGAACATTATTTTACATCATTTAATTATGATTTATAATATGATATTAATTTTAAAATGTACTTGATGACTCATCCAACGCCACTATTCAACAAATTCGTACCTATACTTAGTACCCATTCTTTAGAATATTTGTCATAACTTTTGATGGAATTAACCAATTTTTATGAAATAAAGACTAAATGTAACCTGAATATACACTTAATAATTTCCTTAACTATTCTTATGATATAAATTAGTACTTTATACGTGATACGTTAACAAACAAACAGACAGACAGACGGACAGACAGACAGACAGAAAAATCTAAAAATGGTAGAAATGTATTTAATTACTTATTTTTAGTACCTCTCATTCACTTTTATTAGAAAAATATAAAATGTACAGACATCTGCTATTTACATTTTTATTATATGTATAGATAGTGTTGCACATTGCATAGCTATTTTTTTGAAAGCGCTTACTTTTTGGAATTGTATCTAATAAAGAAACTTCAACTGACAGCCACTATTTCCTTACAGCAATGCTACCCAGATTATGCTTGCAAATGTCAAGACTCCAGGAACAACACTTATGGATGTATAAGGCGCATTGCGAAAAGAATCAATATGAAGTACTGTATGTTCGCTGATGATGAGGTAGATTGTAATACTGCTTACATTTTTCATAACGTTTTGCTTCAACATTACCCTTGTAGTATAACTATAGCATAAAGTAACATATAACTGAATGAAATGAACACATGAATAATTTTTTTAAATTTTGGACTGTGTCTGTTCGGGATAAACTTCGGAATGGCTGAACCGATTGTAATAAAACTTCACGAACTGATGAAGTATGACCAATACCAAGAATAATCTAGGATATTATATTTTATCCGAAAAACGTGGTGATTTTTTTAAATGAAAATTTGGTGAAATAAATGGCCTTTGATTATCTTAAATATAAATAACGCTATATTAAAGGATCCTTCTCAGGCGAAGCCATGGCGGTTTGCTGGTATTATAATATAGAAATCCATTAAAAAAGTCCCGTTAGGTTTCTTGATACTTTTTCCCAGAACAGAGCTTTTTACCACAGTTTTTCGATCTGGTGGTAAAAGTAGACATGGCTTTCTATGGTATTAAATATTTTATAATTTTTATTGAAAAAATTATACTCATGATCGACATCATCATTGTGGCCTATAAAAGTCCACTGCTGAACAAATGCCTCCCTATAGACTGCATCAAAAGGGGGATATTTGCCATTGTTGCCACACTGGGCAGTTGGGTTTGCAACCGCAGATTTTATTATTGTTACTAGGAAGATGCTGCTGCCTATCTTCTAGTTTGTTTGCCTCTGTTACCTCTTACGACACGCATATTCTTACACATGGTGAGCCAATACATGAGAAAAGTTATAAATATTATATTAATCAAGTGTGTAAGTATGTGGTTAAGCAAGGTATTTCGTCAGAAAGGGCAAAAAAACTTATGAGTCAGTGCTGAATTGGATAAATTTAAATAATATATTTACATGTGTGCTGTAACATGTCAGCCACGTACGATGTATGCAGTTTTGAACTAGGCTTTCTAGAATAGAAGAGAATAGAATCATGTTAATTCAATATAGATTAGAAAACTACTTCTTGAAAATCATTTAAGCTTTCGTTTTTCGGAAAAAACCTGTCCTGGGAATAACCAACAAAAAACCCATCGGGACTTTAAAAAAAAAGAAAAATTTTGGCAGCATCATAGCGATCACCTCATTTCTAGAAGTTACTATCAATCATGTACTCTTTAGTAGTATAATAACCCTTACCAAACAATTTTTGCTAAATAAAAATTTTAAACATTGATAGATAAGCCGTCTATATTTTCTGGGATTTTTTTGTAAAAGCGTAAGTTTTTTATACAATTAGGGTGACAAACAAGCCCACAGTCCAGCTGATGGTAAGTGAATGCTGTGGCCCATATACATCTACATTTATCCTCGATTAAGAATGAAAATGCAGATGCGTTGTCACCCCTGAGGACTAAGATGGAATGCCTCGTTTCCAATATCTCCAGTTCTCTACACTCGCTATACGAAACACAGCAGCATTAAAAGATGCTAACGCTGGTATTCTGTAAGTGTGGACCGGTCGAGTCGATCCTTTCGTGCTACAATCAAAGCTGAAGCGTCGTTCTACCACGTACAAAATATACTTGTGTAATAAACTTACTTATGCTTGTTCTCAGTACTTGCAGAATGTACATCACTATTTTTGTGTATACTTAAATGTTCGTAACTATACTGAGAGACCAAATATATTTATTTATTGAAATTCTCAGGGGTTCCTTCTTACCTTGTGGTGGACAATTTTTTCTAAGAATGATTTTGACAATGAATAAATACTTCTAATGATGAAAAATTTGATGAATTTTTAGCACAAAAATCTAACGCCTACTTATCTGTTTCAGAATTTCATAGAAATGTACGATTTGGCAAAAGATCCATATGAATTGAACAACATCGCGAACGATGTTTTGCCTTCGATTAAACATTGGTACCAACTAACACTGGCCCGATTGTTGGCTTGCAGGGGAAATGTCAATTGTGACAATCCATTTGAAACTCCTAATGTGATTATATCGTAAAATATGTTCAACACCTGAGAATTGTTTCACTATACAATAACGAAAATTACTAACAATACAATTTAAGAAAATATTACTGTTATTGAATAGATATTAATTTGTTGTTCACATTAACAAAATGTTGCAAGCGAAAATATTGTAGAATAAACTATGCATCAAAAATATTTTTCTTTTATTTTACTCATAATTTCTATTGGATTGTAAAAGTTGGGTTGTCAACGATTTTTTTTTTATAGAAGTATAAAAAAATCTTCGACATTTAGATGGTTAGCTTAATTTTAATTCGAGAATTTGATTCCGGATCTCTAAGTAATACTTCTCAGTCTGGATAAGTACCACCCTGTGCCGATAAATAGCTGTGTTTGCACAGCTGTTCGAAAATATTGTAGAATAAACTATGCATCAAAAATATTTTTCTTTTATTTTACTCATAATTTCTATTGGATTGTAAAAGTTGGGTTGTCAACGATTTTTTTTCATAGAAGTATAAAAAAATCTTCGACATTTAGATGGTTAGCTTAATTTTAATTCGAGAATTTGATTCCGGATCTCTAAGTAATACTTCTCAGTCTGGATAAGTATCATCCTGTGCCGATAAATAGCTGTGTTTGCACAGCTGTTTATAGCCTTGTTGTCAGAAGGGTATAGGAGTCAGTATAAAATTATAATAATAATAAAAGTTTATTTCTTTAATAAAAATAAATTTAATTCTTAAATAAAAGCTGAAAGGCATTTTGTCTCAGTCCTCAGGGGTGACAACACACCTGTAGGCTTCGTTGTTTGAAGTTGGCTGCAGCTACTTACCATCAGGTGGACAAGTAAAGTGGTCCGATTAGTTTGTAACTTTAATTTTTTATAAAAAAAAACTTCAACTCGTCCGTACGTGCGCGCTGCCAACAGCGTGCTGGACAACGTGTAATGGTTTTAGTTGGCAGTTCTAACAATTCGATTAATAAAAAAAATCTATAATTTAAAGGGAGTTCAATAAAATGCAACCAATGCGCTTAACAACTTTATTAAAAAACAAAGCAACATTTCATAAATTAAGAAGTTAAAATTTAAAAAAAAGTGTTGAAAATACATCACAGATAAAAATGGCATCTTAAAATATTTTTGTACCTGCAACAAATAATCTTATTTATTAAAAATTATTACAATTATTTTATTTTGAAGTTTATCTTTACTAAATTATAACAATGCGGTCTCCAGCATTGTTATAATTTAGTAACTAAGTAATAAAAAGTTATGATGTATGGTAACGGCGTAAGAGAATCCCTAAGCTCATTTTGCCCCGTGGGTATTGTATAACAGACAAGGCTAAAATATGCTAAAGCTTCCATGGATGGCGGGTTAACAATTAAACGTAAAATATCCAGACTGGCGACGGTGAAAATAGGGGGACGGTGTTAAAAGTAACCAAGCATGGCGATTGTGGCAAATCCTCCATGCAGCATGAGAGGCCTATATACTGATATAGGGGCTGCAGTGAAGTGGCCTGTTAGCTCGTATAAAACAAGTATTATAGATAATTAAAAGTAGTATATAAAATTTTAAAAACCCCCCGAAACAAATAGATGATAGCTAAGAACACACACTATCAAACGAAAAAGTAACCGGCCAAGTGCGAGTCGGACTCGCGCATGAAGTGTTCCGTACCATCGTAATACACGTTTGTAGTAGGTGAGTCCCTTTTAATTTTTATTATTTAATTTAAAATACAAATTCTGTGAAAATTTCAACTGTTTACCTATTACGGATCATGAGATACAGGCCGCTGACACACAGACGGACGGACAGCGAAGGCTTAGTAATAGCCTTCCGTTGATTACCCTTTGGGTATGGAACCCAAAAACTAAATCTAATTCGGTTCATCTGTTTGGGAGCTACGATGCCAGATACAGACACATAGATACACACGTTAAACATATAACACCCCTCTCTGTTTGTGTCGGGGGTTAAAAAAGGTAAGCACTTACCTAACATCACGTAATACCGGGCACTTGCTGCCGATTTTTTACGTTGAAGTAGTCTGTCAATCTGCTTTGACACTTGAAATCTTCCTTATAAACTAGTGGACAGGGGAAATATTGCTGAAATGAAATTTATATTTTACCTTTTTTATAATAAAGATGGGAGGTCGGTAAGAGGAATTGAGATGCTGATAATTAAGTCTACTTTGCAACACATAACAGTTACAAAAATACCAATAATGTGGTGGTGGTTGAAGACAATCCACCACTTCCCACGAATGAAAATAATGCGACCGCGATAAATAGCGGCATGACCATTGTATTTTTACCAAATAGAGAATACCATACCTCTCCCGCAATCGTGTCCCGTGATGTCGTGACACGATTGAAGGAATGCTATATATAATATCTTTTTAATTTAATTTATGAGACGGGTTTCTCATCTTGAAATTCACTATTTTATAAAACCTGCTAGGGTAAGACCTCTTATATCATCATTATGACCATTATTACAGCCCACCGTCCACTGTTGAACATAAATCTCCCCCAAGGAACACACCACAAAACACGGTCCGAAGCCATGTGGCATCCATCGACTTCTGGCATGCGTCTGTTACCAGGACGTCACTCCATCTAGCGGACGGCCGTGCTAAACTTCGCTTACCAGTACGAGGCTGCCACTCGAGAAACTTTCTTCCCCATCAGTTTCAGCCACTTCAGCTTAGTGATCTGTTGGACTCAAGGCTTGCATGACAGAAAAATTATGGGTTATAACGGTTAAAGTTAAAAGACAAATTTTTTCATTGCGATATTTTAAAATAACGATACACAAATTTTTCGGTACCGAAATATAACGGTAGCATTTTTTGTTTCGCTACCTAATTATCAACTTATAAGTTTTGCTCTTCTTGTGGTTCAAAATTACCTTGGCTTTCAATTAGTTTCTTAGAATTTTTTACTAATACTTTGGATTATTATATATTACACTATACACAAACAGATACTCCCAAAAATATCGTTACCGTTATTTTATACCGGTGGCGAATCGGTCAGAGAATATCAGGGTAAAATAGCACAAAATAGAAACGAGGCGTTCCATCTTAGTTTTCACAGGTGACAATGCATCTATGTAGATTTTGATTCGTAATCGAGGACATATGTAGATGTCTATGGTATAGCAACCAATTGCCATCAGGTGGACTGGTTTGTCACCCTTATCCCATAAAAATAATAATAAAGGTTTTTATTACTTAAAATAAAGATACCACATGCATGTGTGGTCTGTGAATGTCATCCACTGACAGCATAAAGTATTGAAAATAAATTAATGTAGACAAGTACCTGAACAGCTTTAGCCCCGCCAGATATATCAACAGTGGGAATCACCTGCTTTGGCTTCAGAAATTTTACGAAACGTATCATCTCCGAGAAACTTGAATGTTCACTATATGGAATGCCTACACACAAAAAATTTCAATGTTAAACAGTGAAACTAATAAAAACCTTACTAATAAAGAGTTGGTTAGCAATGCGTCGTGACCCAGAGAGCCGCGGGTTCGATTCCCTCACGGAACAAATAAGTATATGTCTAGCCTAAAAATAATTGTTCCGAATCTGGATATTTTTTGAAATTTATGCCTGTAAACTGTGTAAACACTCCTCCACGATGCAGAAGAAAATATTAGTGTTACACAATAACATTAAAAAATAAAGATAGTTAATACTTTAATGAGGGGCAGGAGCTGGGTTTTATTGCAGTCTAAATTTAAAATATAATAATATATAGTTTGTCAAGATTTAGAAATTTGTTACTCGATCACACAGTCAAACATATTCATATGAAATTTAAAAAAAAAGAAGATATTTTTCTTTCACTAACCATTTAATATCATTTTATCCCTGAAATTTTACTTCGTCATCATCATCATCAGCATAATTACAGCCCAACAAAGTAATACATCTCCTATGTGGTAGAGCCATGCTGCAGCTATATTAATAGTATAGTTGTAGCACGAATGGGTCGGCTCGACCGTGGAAGGACCACGCTCTCACAGAATACCAGCGTAAAATAGTAGCTTAATGTTGCTGTGTTAAATAATCATCAATGACCATTTATTTTTAGAAATTTTAGTAAAGTGTATATAGTGAAGTTTATGTAGTGAAGCGTACGTAGTGAAGCGTACACAGTGAAGTGTATGTAGTGAAGTGTAAGTAGTGAAGAGTGTAGAGACACGTATGGTAAGTGTAGAGACACGTATGGTAAGTGTAGAGAACCGGAGACCTTTTTTTTCTGAAAAGAGACTTTCTATCTTAGTCCTCACACAGCTGACAACGCATTTTATTCGCAAACGAAGATAGATGTAGATGTCTATGGGCCACAGCAACCACTTACCATCAGGTGAACTTTGTATTCGCTTGTCACCCTTATCTTATAAATAAAAAAACATTAAAAAAGCATTACCGTGTATAGTAACAAAGTCTTTCTGTACAGTAGAATTCTTCCCATTCTCCCAGCCGCTCGGTTTAAATGCTACGACTTCGCTGAACGCACCTTTAAGGCCATCCAAATATGCTCGTAGCTTCTACAGGAAACAGATTAAGGAATAACAACATTTTCTATCTTTACAACAAATTCATCAAGTTTTGAATTGATAGGAAAGCTTATTTTTAACCTTTTTGTTTTCGAGCGGGTATAAACAATTGTTCTGTGCCTTGAAACATATCCGCGGATTTATTGACAAGGATAATCCGCTTTGCCTGCCATACACCTATTTACATCTTATTACTTGATAATTGTAATTTTTTTTTAATTTAAATACATTGTAGTTTTGTTGTTGGGATTTTGTAATATTAAAGATAGCATGTGCGCAATAACAGAGTAGTGGCGGTGTAAAAATATCCACTACCCCATTTCATCCCGTGGGTGTGGTAAGAGGCTACAGAGGGAAACAAATCAGGAGAGCACCAGCGTCTTCTTAATAATAACGACTAAAAATAAAAAACTGCCGTTACAACTCGATTGCCATGCGTGGCAACTATGGCAAATATCCCTCTAAGAGACAATCTATGAGGGAGGCCTATGTTCTGCAGTAGACTTTAATAGGCTGTATAGTCTGTTCACTAAGATTTTAACTGTGCTAAATAAATGTTTTTCTATTCTAAGAATAAAATTCAAATAAAATACGAATATAAATAATCAACACAAGTACCAAAAAGAATTTAAATGCAAAATATGAGTACTTAAACATAAACAAAAGTAAAATGGACACTATTCTTCATCACTCAAAGTGTCTGAATCATTGACACCTGTATAAGGCATCCAACGGCATCATGTTCTGAATCCATAGGAAAATAGTATTTTTGTTATTGGTTCACTCAAAATTTCATCTTGAGACATTACACTGTCCTCCCAAGAACGAAAAGACATTTTCTGT